CGAAGTTATTGAAACAGAACAGGTAAATTTGAATTTTATATATTCCAGAGGTACGGAAGGATCACAAAACAATGGGACAGGTGAGGATTATTAAAAGGTATCTTAGATGCCTAGTGCTGTCATAAGAAAAAAACACCACAAATTTAAAGAACAGGAATTCATTGTCTCGCAGTCTTGGTTAGAAGTCCAAATGAGAGCAGTGGTTCTAAATCAGGGTCCTTCCTTGTCAGTAGCCCCATGAATTCCTTGGCATTCCTTGGCCTCTCTCCCCTGTGTGTCTCTGTGTCTATTCTGTTCTTTTTATAATTAAAAAAGTAATTAGATTTAGGATCCACTCTACTCCGGGATGACTTCATGAACATAAAAAAAAGAAAACTCTATTTACAAACAGGATCACAGGAACAGGGCCAGGACTTCAACACATATTTTGCAGGGCCACAATCCAATCTATAACTACAGGCATTTAGGCAATTTGACTTAACCAAAATTAAAAATTTAGGAAAAAAAATAGATGTTAGTGCAAAAATATACCAAATAAACTAACTTAGGTAAAGAAGCAATAAATATCTAAGTTTAAATGGAAAAGTGAGAAATAAGTTGGATATGAATAAGCTATCTGAAAAAGAAGCCAAATTTTAAAGCTTGGAAACAAGGAGTAGAAGAAAAAGATGAAGAGTGATATATTTTGTTATTGTAAGTTTGGTAAAAATAGTAAGATAAGCAATCTTTATAAAGACTTTGTATTAAAAGAAAAGTTATTTAATAAATATCCTTAATTATACCTTACCTTAATTTTATCTTCATTCTCATGAAGACTCCAGTTTATAAACTATCAGTGAAGAACCACAAAAAAGTTATTCAACATGAATTATAAATAGTAGATAAGATATGGAAAACTGAAGAACCAGCAATTAATGAAAGAAATTAAAAATAATGAACTGTATTTTTATATTTCGGAAGGAAAATTGGACATTCTACTTCCATAGAGATATCACTTCAGAAATCCAAGGAGGGATGGCTATGAGTTGAATCAACTCAATGGCAGTGAGTTGGTTTTTTGTTTTTTGTTATTTTTATAATTATTAAATTAGCAAATGTCAATGTACCTATATACTTTGCTAGCACCATTGTAAGGCGAAATAGTTATTTTTGAAAATAATTTCATAATGTGTTCTAAAGCACTAAAATGCACAGGTTACTTGAGCCAGTTAGTCAATTTCTAGAATAATCATTCAAAAAAATAAAAGTCTATGTGTAAGAAGATATTTATCACATCATTATTTATTTATAATATTTTAAAACATTAGAATTTATCTCAAAATAAGTGAATGGTCAGTAGAAAAGTATGCAGCCATTAATAATAAAGTTCATAAAGAATATGTAGCAGCTTAGAAAAGACTTGTGTTATTAAATAAAGTGAAAAGTATATATAGCTTTATGTGACTACAAAGATATAAACACACAGACACAAATGGAAAATGACTAAAGAGTATATAAAGTATACAATGATGATATTAATTCATCATTTTAATATATTTATTCCTATGTTGTTTGAATGTATTAATGTCATATTAATAGATAAACATACTATATATGATATAGTAATTTTCCTCTGTTTCTAAATTTTCAAAAATTTGCATAGTTTCTGTAACACTGGGCACCTTCCCCCACATTCACTTTGGCAATATTAGCCTGAGTGGACTGAAGACAAAAAATTGCTTCTCTGAATTTCATATTGTGCTATGAAATTGACTAACTGGCTCAAGTAACCTGTGCATTTTAGTGCTTTAGAACACATTATGAAATTATTTTCAAAAAGAACTATTTCACCTTACAATGGTGCTAGCAAAGTATATAGGTACATTGACATTAAAATTTTGCTAATTTAATAATTATAAAAATAACAAAAAACAATCTTTTTAATATTAGTTATAAAAAAAAAGTTGCCATGGAATTGATTCTGACAAATGGCAACCCATGTCAGAATAGAGCTGTGCTCCACAGGTTTTCAATGGCTGATTTAACAAAAATTGATTGCCAGGACTTTCTTCCAATATATCTCTGGGTGTTCTCGAATCCTCAACATTTTGGTTAGTGTTCTGGTTACCTAGTGCTGCTCTGACAAGAATATACCACAAATTAAATGGTTTTAACAAATAAGAGTTTATTCTTTTACAGTTTGGAGGCTTTAAGTCCAAGTTCAAAGTGCCAGGCTATAGGGGGTGGGTGAAAGCTCCTTGACCAAAGGCTTCAGCTTTGTCTCCTGCTCCCAGCCCACTGAAGCTGGAGGCTTTTCTTCACTCAGACAACTGTTGGCTGCTGAGGCTGACAAGCCCAAGGTCAACAAGTAAAAAGGCACAGTCCCAATGTTACCAAACAACACTGCAGGTCACTAATTCAAGTCCATTGACAGTTCCAGATCAGCAAAGCATGGCAGGCTGCTGAACAACAACTTGGCTACATACAGGATTCAAGGGTGCCATAAACTAGAGACCGTTCCCAGAGCTGCTTCTTATATAGGAAGCAGACCACATCCCTAAAGCAGCTACTCAGCTGCTTGTGGTAGATTCCACCATGGAGTTGATTGCCAGTCTCATCATGGGGAATAACTACCACCTGCTGCCCAGCCACTCAACTAGGCCCAGCCAAGTTACACACAACCTTAATTACTACAGTCAGCAACTGAGCACTTCACTGTTTGCAACACTCAAGGATGCATTTAATAATTAGATATTGACAATAAATAGGTATTTATTAACTCAAAAAAATTCTTTCCGTTATTGAAGAATTTCAAAAGCACCATAGCTCCACTTCATCTATACATTTTTAAAGACAATTTGATATGTGAAAATAAACAGATCCTGTTAGGGTTATTCAAAAAAAAAAAAGCAAACTCATTGCCACCAAGTTGATTTCAACTCATAATGACGCCCATTGGGTTTCCAAGGCAGTAAATCTTTAAGGAAGTAGATTACCCAGTCTTCCTTCTGCAGTGTTGCTTGTGGGTTTGAACCACCAGCCTTCTGGTTAGCACTCAGATGCCTTAGGCACAGTGCTACCAGAGCACCAGGGTTAGGAGTTATTCAGGCATTTTAAAATTGATACCTCAAGGAGTTATTTGTTTTGTTTGCTTTTTAGTGAAACCCTAGTATCTGCAAAGAAAGAAAAAAAAAAAGATAGTGCCTTCCACAGTTATAAGTATTATTTCAAAATGTCTACCAGTGGATAATATTATTAAAGATGCTCCATGCTTATTTCATAATGAATTGTCTTCAAAATATAACTCCTCAGAATTATATTATCACTTTATCCAAAAAAGTTATATGAACGAAAGAGGAAGATGGGACAATCTACTTCTGTAGTGATACTGCCTTGGAAACCCAAGGAGGGATCTCTATGAGTCGGATCCAACTCTACGGCATATAACAACAACAACATGAACGAAAGAGCACTGTTTCTTATCTTAGATTTTCCTGTTCAACATGCAGCTGTATAAACTATAGGGATTCTCACTGAAATATGCTCCAGCAGTTTTTATGCAGATGGCAAAATATAAATGCTTTGTTACCGACGCATAAATACACACCATGGCTTTATGACAGAGAATGATGTCCACTCAGTTGGTATATGCTTCACAAGTGGGAGGCAGAGAAATGCTTCAACATAAAAGCAATGAAGAACCACATGCTTGTAAGAAGCAGTTGAATGGGTACCCAGCTGGAACTTCCTATTTTACATGGAGCCTGCAGCGTTGTATTTCTTGGATTGGATGATGTTTATTATAAATCTCTTTGTCTCAGTACTCCTAGGCATAATGAAACAAAGGAGTTGGTGTAATGTAGAAAGCATGTGCATTAAGACTCCGCAGGAGTTGTTCCACTATATTATAGAAAACAGAGCTTGCAGTAGCCTGACTTTCCAGGGCCATGGAGGCTTTCTGAAGGAGCAGTGGAGAAGCTGGTATACATTGTTGGTGTTTTCTTTACAGGGTTATTATATCCTCTGTTGTGAGCCTGCTCAGTAGCTGGAGACTTGCAAAGCCTAAGATCCATCTAGTTGTCATTGAGTCAATTCTGACTGGTTTGCAGAGCAGAATTTCTCCATAAGGTTTTCAAGGCTGTGACCATTCTGAAGCTTTCACTCACCAAAGCAGAGCTGAGAGAGAGCCAAAGCTGGGGCTTCATCTTCCTCTCTGTTGGGATTACCCAATTCAGCTCTCCCTCACATACTCTGAGTACAGGCAGAGCAATCAGAGGCCCAAAGCACTGAGCTCCCAGTCAAAAGAGGCAAGCACAAGGGATTCAGGAGCAAACATCATTTTTATCTGCATCAGAGCAACACACAAACTCCCACTGATAGATAAGTGGTGACTGGACATGAGGTGCATTGGCCAGGAATAGAACCCAGTCTCCCATTTGAAAGGCAAGAATTCTAGCACTTAACCACCAAGGCCCCAACTGATGGCCTTATAATCCCTCATAAATGCTATCACATCATTTCCCCTTCAGTGCATTTCAGTCCATAGTGCTGAGAGTCTATTCCCTAAGCACAAATACAGTCTTGTCACTGTCATATTCAAATCTCTGGTAACTGCATCACAGAATCCTATGTGACCATCAGAGACCACCATGATGATGATACAACCAGACTCCTCCATGTCTTTTCTCATTTCTCCTCTTCAGGTATATTTTACTTGAACAAAAGTGCTCTCCTCCTTCTGAGCTTTCTCTCAAGCTCGAATTGCCCCATCTCTATCTGCCTCTTCAGCATCATATTGCTATGAAACTTTCCCTAAGCCACCAATTCTAAACATTTTGGTCATTGCACATTTTATAGCACTAACCCTTTCATACATACACATCATTAAGCTGATAAAACCAAGCTTGTTTTGAGGGTTGAAATCCTATCCCTTGCAAAGAACTTAGTCCAGTAGCTTAAGAGAGTAGACACTCAGATACTTGTAACATGACTAATGATACTGTCCTTTTCTTTTTCAGTAGCACCACCACCCTATAGCTATGACCATGAGCTGGAATACTCTGCAGACTTGCCTCCACCATACTCCCCAACACCACAGCCTTCAGCAGAGCGGTCACCGCCTCCTCCTTATCCTGGAAATTCAAGGAAATAATACTACTTCCAGAGCAGAATACACACTCATTGGGATCTTGCCCAAAACAAAAATTCCTCTACTTAGAAACAGAGAAGAAAGAATTGCTCTAAGGAATGATTTTGGGGGGTCAAACAATATTTCAGGTAGAAGATCCAGGCTAACAGATAAAGATTTTCTATCCTGCTCAGTTTGAGTCTTTGAATCCAATGAACTCAAACATATCAATGATCATGAAGATGGCTCAGAATCAGGCAACATTTCATTCTGTTATATATAAGGTTGCCATGAATTGGAGCTGACTGGACAGCAGCTAACATAACTCTGCTCAGAGCTGACCCCATCTGGAGTATTATGCTTTGGTCTATGGGTACCAACTTTTAGGAAACTTACTGATCGATTTAAGTGTATTCAGAAAAGAGTATGAGATTGCCAAAACATCTGAAAATCATGTTGTTTGAGGAATGGATGAAGATAGCGACATTGATATGGAAAAGAGAAGACATATATTAGATAGAAAAATGGCTCGGCTTACAGAAACAGTTTCTTTCTATGTAACTTTAATAGTGAGAACAAGAAATGACCAATCTTTTATTCATTAATAAATGCATATTGAGTGCTTGAGAGCCTACTATTTGCCATGCACTGTTTGAAACACTGGATGGAAGTTACAGTATAAGAAAGGGCATTTTAACAATTGGATCTTTCTTATGTACTGGATTACTTTGTGAAGCTCCTTGTTACCAAAAATTTTCAAATAGAACCTTTCTGACTATCTGGTAGGGAAATGCTCTAGAAGGGACACATAAATCAAATGGTAGATGGATTCTTTGGAGCCCAAAAATTCTGTTTATGTTTTAGGTAGGTATGGGGTAAATATCTTTGCGATATCATCACCATAATTCAATGAAACTCCCCAAGTGATGTGAAGACTGAAAACACAGGTATAGTTGAATCTTATCCATTTAATTGGGTAGTTAAAATAGGATCAAAAGGACTTACTAGCTGCTTAAAGCCAAGAACGTGTCAATGTTATCTAGTGTCATCTAAAAATCATCTAGTTTTATTTAGAGAACTATGACAAAGGTTATTCCAAATATAGGGGGAAAAATCATCAAGTCCCACAGGCAACAAATACTTCTCTTTCAAAGCAAAAAAAAAAAAAAAAATTGACAAATCAGATAGTGCCACTGGATTTTACATTATGGAATAAAATCTCATAATTTGTCTGAATATATATATATATATATATATATATATATATATATATATATATATAGGCTTATTGGGGGGAAAAAAAGTAATGATAGTAAAAAATAAAAGGGAAAAAATAAGTTGGTAACCCCTTCTGTGGAATCCCATCCAAATGTAATTTACACACATTTTTCTTCCTCTCTTGAAAAATTTTGATAATCTAGTCCTTTGGAAGGAGCTCTGGTGGCATATTGCCTAAGGCAGTTGACTGCTAACCAGAAGGCTGATGGTTTAAACCCATCAGCCACTCCTGGGAAGGAAGATGGGGCAATATACTTCCGTAGTGATAATGCCTCAGAAACCCAAGGGGGGGTCGCTATAAGTCGGGTCCAACTCGACGGCACATAACAACAACAACAATAAATAGCCCCTTGGAAAAGTTATACAGTTAATGGCAAGGTTAAGATACTGACATCAGAAATTTACTTTTGATCAAAATGCAACTTTTATGAAGTGCCTATGTTTGGGTATAAAAGCTTTAATAAATAATTCTTATGTGCCATATTTTGCTGTAAGTGACCTTAAAATTTATACTTTTATTTGGGTATTTTTATGTATTTAATATGTTTATGTTGAGCAAATGTTGGAAATAGATAATGGGATTTTTGTGTAATTTCACAACTAAATCTAAAACGTTTTCATCAATATCATCACCATAATTCAATGAAACTCCCCAAGTGATGTGAAGAATTTTGCAGATTAAATCAAAAGAAATGTCTTCAGGTATAAATTATAGTTCCCATATTTGTAGTTAGAAATTTAGTAGCTGATATAAGTAACATTTTATTTTCAATTCCCTACACTTAAAATACATTGATGTGATTGAATTGCAGTCTAACTGCCAGTGAGGTCTGAAGGTTAAATTTGTTTTGAATGACTTGCTTGATTTCTAGGCACTGATAAGTTTATTAATTACCAAGACACAAATCATTTAAGGGTTTCAGTGTATTCTAGTGGAGGGCTCCCTGACATATGAAGATTTTAGCACAATTCTAACAGAACATATGCTTTAAATTTATTTCTCTTCTGCATGTATGCTCAGACACAGTTACGTTGCAGCTGTATAATTTAAAGCACCACGGTCCCCGTGAATTTCAGAATGTTGGTTACAAATGCACTGTATAATCCTTAAGAAAAATGAAGAAGAAAGGACCAGTAGAATTTAATTCTCATCATCTTTGCCATCAATAAACGTTTATTGTGTACCTCTTATATTCTGTAAACATTATACATGTAGGAGGCATTTCAATCCACTCTATCACTCTCTGAATTGTTTATGGCCTCCCTTAAGGTATGTCACAAATCCATAGATCTACAATAGATGGATATTTTGACTATGTGTATTTAATTTCACAGTAACATGAATGTGCACATTATCAGTATAGATTTTTGGAATTCAATGATTGATTTCATGGATGATGTTTCTTGGAGGGAAATAGTATATGATATAGAAGCTTTGGATTGTGGTTATTTAAAAACTAATGTATTTACTGTGGCCAAAGTGTTTACAACAAGCAATAAAATGAATGAACCCATTGTAACAAGGGTTATATTTTAATTGTCTTGTGTTCATTTTTCACTCACCCTCCACTCCTGCTGATTAAGTTTTACTCTTTTGTACAGGAGTTTGAATTCATCCAGCAGGACCTCAGAAGAAAGATCTGACTATCTACTTCTGAAAAATGAGCTATGGAAAACCCTACAGATTATGGTTCTACTATAACACATATGGGGTCAATATGAGTTGGAATCCAGTTGGTGACAACTGGTTTAGTTTGTCTGTCTCTGTACAGGAAGCAAAACATTGGAGCCAGCTAGATTTCATTTTAAATCCTGGGTCTTGCCTTTGTGATTTAAGATAGGCTGTTTGATCTGAGATTCAGCTTCCTGCTCGGGAAAATGTAAGTAATATAATCTACCTCATCAAGTTTTGTGAAAATTGAATGAATAGACATGAAAGTCCATGTAACATGCCTGACACATAGGAAATGTTCTATAAAAATTAGCCAAAAATAAATTAACAAAAAGAACAATATAATGATAACAGCTTCTATAACTGTGCTTTCCAACACAATAGCCACCACATATCTATTTACACTAATTAAAATTGTATTTAATAAATAATGCAGTTTCTCAGTCTCACTAAGCCATATTTCAAGTACTCCATAGACACATGTGATGAGTGGCTACCTTGTTGGTCAATGCTGCTCTAGACAATTCTCTATGAAAAGCACAAGAAGGTAGCAGGAAGGAGTTGAAGAAGTCACTCATGTCATCATGTCCAAGAGAGACTGTGGACTTTGACCATTAATTGTGATATTCATCATGGATATGTGAGGGGCCCATTGCTGTGGAACTGAAGCATGACCTACACAAGAACTCATGAGTAATGAGGGACCTATCCAGGCTCCCTCAAGGGCTAGGGGTAGGGAAGGTGTTGCAAGAGCTGATGGGCTGATGGTAGAGGGGAGACCCTGAGCTGACACACAAGCTGATAAGAAAGAGCCATATCCTATTCTCAGAATCAAATCATTTCTGCAACTGCCCTGCTCAGCTACAGAAGCCTGCAAAAAAAAGCATGTGGGGCTGCCAAAATCTTCCTGCAGTGCAACACTGTGGTGGCACCCTTCTCTTATTTCATAGTCTGGTTCCCACCACCAAATGAATGTAGCACTCACCACTCATCTACCCCATTCCCAACTTTCATTGTTTCACTATACCTATTTTGCCAACTCCTAGTTATAGATGTGGTCTAGCATACATCATCAGACTATATATTGAGCCCATCAAATAGTGGAGCTCTGAATCCTATTGTTTTAATTTTAACTCAGTGAAAACAACCTAACATTTATTTGGGGGAAAAAAAAAATTGCCACATGGTCTCCTAACCAATCTCTACATAGGCTCTTAACCAAGGTCTGAATAAGAACTGGCTTAAGTATGCAATTACTATGTTCTGATTATAGGCTCAACCTGCAAAAGACGTGTCTGAATTTGCTTAAATTCAATATTCTTCTTTTACAACCCCACTGTGTTTTATGGCTTAGGTCAGTGAGTATCAAGAGATCAGAGGTCAAAAAGAATGTCAAGACTTTCAGGAAAGAACCGTATAAAGATCCTAGGACTGCCTTAACAAAGAACCACAAACTGGGTGGATTAAAGCAGCAGAAACTTACTCTCTCATAGTTCTGGAGGGCTGAAGTCTGAGATCAAGGTAACAGCAGGGCCATGCTCTCTCTCTAGGCTCCAAAAGAAGATCCATCCTTGCTTCTTCTAGCATCTGGTGGCCCCAGGCGTTCCTTGTCTTGTGGCACCATAACTCCAAACTGTGCCTCTGTCTTCACATGACTGTCTTCTCACAGTGTCTCATCTCTTTTTATAAAATCACTTATATTGCATTAGGACTCCACTCATGTTAACTGATTGTACCTGCAAAGATCCTATTTCCAAATAAAGTCATATTCACAGCTACCAGGGGTTATGGCATCAATATAACTTCTTGGGAGACACGATTCAATGCATAACAGAGATATAAATAGCTTTTTTTTTTTTTTTCTTTTTCCATAGGTAATTCTGAGTCTCAACCTACCCCAGTCCCTGCCTCTTAAGACCTACCATTGCAGTGGAAAGAGCCAAGACTTCAGAATAAGAGGGTGTCTTTTGTCTCTGTGCCCCTCTAGTTACATATCCTAAACCAAGTAACTGAATTTCTATAACCTGTTTCATCTGAAATATATGAATAGCACCTACCTTGCCAGATTGTTGCA